CACACTGGGGATCAGGTTTCAAAGCATGAATTTTGGGAGGGGGACAATTGAATTTATAGCAGTCTTCTTTGGCAGAAACCTAAGAGGCCCTGCTGGGTATGTAAGAAGGAACTGAATTCAGCTGGAAGGAGAGAGCCCCAGCCAAGCAAGGCCTCATAGCATCCTGACATTAGTGACCCAAACACAAAGGTTGCATCAGCCTATTGGAGAAGCATCTCAGGTGAGCAATGGGACCTAAGGAGGTTGATCCCAGGGGCAGCAGGTGTCTCACTTCCAGGGCCATACTTGGCAGCCCTGCCTGGGGAGGAAGGTCAGATGTGGATCCAGCTTCTCAATCCAAGAAGCTGAAAGGACCTCTTCTTTCCCAAGGCACCATGGCCAGGCTTCCTGCTCCTCTTCTTACCTCTACTCCTGAGGGCCAACCACACCCAGTGCCACCCAGGCTGTCCCAGAAGTCCCTCCTTGTTGGCTCCCGAGCCTTCAGCCTCTACACCTATGCCAGGGTAAGGAGACTGGAGGGAGTGACCCTCAAGTGACCTGGAAGCAAGGAGTTGCAGGGGAAGCTATGAACCCAGGTGGTGGCTGACATTGCAGGAAAACAGCTTGCTGTTGGAACCCTGGGGCATGCCTCCATCCTGAATTTTCACTGGCAGCATCCTGCAGTACTGAGGCATATCAAAAATTTAGATGACTTAGATGGAAAAAATATCAGTCAGAACAGGCACTTAGAAACATTATGGGCTTCTCAAGTGGTAAAGAACCTACCTGACAGTACAGAAGACACAAGAGATGCAAGTTCAATCCCTGGATTGGGACAATCCCTTGGGGGAGGGCATGGCAACCCACTCCATTATTCTTGCTTGGAGAATCCCCATGGATAGAGGAGCCTGGTGTGCTACTGTCCACGGGGTCACAAAGAGTCAGGCATGACTGAAGTGACTTAACATGCATGTACAGAAACATCATAATCATCACCTTCATCATCATTGTTCAGTTCAGTCACTCAGTCATGAATGACTTTTTGCAAACCCATGGGCTGTAGCACACCAGGCTTCCCTGTCCATCACCAACTCCCGGAGCTTGCTCAAACTCATGCCCATCGAATCAGTGATGCCATCCAACCATCTCATCCTCTGTCGTCCCCTTCTCCTCCCCCCTTCAATCTTTCCCAGCATCAGGGTCTTTTCCAGTGAGTCAGTTCTTCCCATCAGGTGGCCAGAGTATTGGAGTTTCAGCTTCAGCATCAGTCTTTCCAATGAATATTCAGGACTGATGTCCTTTAGGATGGACTGGTTGGAGCTCCTTGAAGTCCAAGGGACTCATTCAAGAGTCTTTTCCAACACCACAGTTCAAAAGCATCAATTCTTCAGCTCTCAGCTTTCTTTATAGTCCAACTCTCACATCCATACATGACCACTGGAAAAACCATAGCTTTGACTAGATGGACCTTTGTTGGCAATGTCTCTGCTTTTTAATAAGCTATCTAGCTTGGCCATAGCTTTTCTTCCAAGGAGCAAGCATCTTTTAAATTCATGGCTGCAGTCACCATTTGCAGTGATTTTGGAGGCCCAAATAATAAAGTCTGTCACTGTTTCCACTGTTTCCCCACCTATTTGCCATGAAGTGATGGGACCAGATGCCATGATCTTAGTTTTTTTAATGTTGAGCTGAAAGCCAACTTTTTCACTCTCTTCTTTCACTTTCATCAAGAGACTCTTAGTTTTTCTTTGCTTTCTGCCATAAGGGTGGTTTCATCTGTGTATCTGAGGTTATTGATATTTCTCCCAGCAATCTTGATTCCAGCTTGTGCTTCTTCCAGCCCCAATGTTTCTCATGACGTACTCTGCATAGAAGTTAAATAAGCAGGGTGACAATATACAGCCTTGACGTACTCCTTTTGCTATTTGGAACCAGTCTGTTGTTCCATGTCCAGTTCTAACTGGTGATTCTTGACCTGCATACAGATTTTACATCATTGTTGGTAACTTTATTTTTACCACGTTTTTATGCCAGGCACTCTGCATAGTAATTCTTTGAGCATTTAGCATGTCTAATTTAGCCCAGGGCATAAAAAAGACCTTGCACTCAGCCTAGAGACTCCAATGGAAGAAAGTAGAGAGATCCAAACACACCTTAAAATGGCCATAGTCAAATTTTGTCAGCCGACTCTGATTGCTCTACTCCGTAAGCAGTTAGCCCCAAGGGATAAGTTCAAGTTAAGGTGCATTTGAACACATATATGGTAAACTATTCCCCAGTCCCAAAGAAGGGACACTTTAACCTCCTTGAAATAAACCAACTCAAGTGTGTCCTCCAGGTAGGAGAAACAATGGAAGTCCTCAGGATGTTTGGCAACCAAGTGCTGTCCCCACCCACTGACTAGTTCTCTACCCGCCTTGGACCAGGAAACTGGATGCACCCAAAAACCTGGAAAACCAGCAACTTACAAGATCGGCTCACTTCTAAGTGGAACAGACTCCACTTGGTGATCTTAACCACCCATTCTGCCCTGAAGTTGCAAAACATCACTCTTTGGGCACATCACACTCCAGTGAAGAGATCCTCAGCCCTACTCTCCAGAGAGACAACCTGGGGCAACAGACCCCTCCTGACTACTTGTAATCAGGCAATCTAGGTTACCTAGATTACCAGGGAGGGCTCTGTGCTCTGGCCCATACATCGGGTTGTTTTTTATGTCATTGCAAGCGACCCGATTGAAGAGAGTGCAGACAGGCTACTGAAAAAAAGCAAATTGGCTAACAGGAGGCTGTCAGTCTTATCTGGCTGAACAAATAGGGGGAGGGGTAAAACAGACCCTCCCCGGCATCACTTGGTTTCTACCTTTCCTGGGCTCGTTCACAACCATTGTTCTCTTGCTGATACGCAGGCCTGTATCTTGGACAGTCTCATGTCCTTTGACTCCAAAAGGCTAGAAGCTGTAAAACTTCAAATGCTGGTTGCTCACAGCTACAAACAGTTAGCACTGAGGCCTGGGGGCACAAACATCAATAAAGGCTGCAGGGGAGAAGCTCTGTTCCCCTCCCTGGGATTATGACAACACACCCAAACTTAGCACACCTGAAGCTTCCCTCAAGAATGAGAAGCAAGGGACTTCCCTGGTGGTCCAGTGGTTCAGAACCTGCCTGCTAAGGCAAGGGATACAAGTTCAATCCCTGGTTCAGGAACTAAGACCCTCACATGCCACAGGGCAACTGAGCCCCTGAGCCAAAAGAGAAGCCACAGCAACGAGAAGCCTGTGCACCAGTCCACACACTGCAACTACAGAAAGCCCCCGCAGAGCAATGAAGACCCAGTGCAGCCAAAAAAATAAAATACATAATTTTTTTTTTAATTTAAAAAGAACAGAAGCAAGATGGAAGACAGAGGAGAGATTTGTCACCAGCAGAAGCCGCTGGGGTGGAGGGGGGAAGTAAGATGGAATCTGGGTGATAAGACAAGGTCCAACTTTGGTGCTTTGCCTAGTTTCACTTGCCTGTCAGGGCCCGTGTGCAGAGACCTTGCACTGGGTTAGATTTCCCAGCGCGAAACGGCTGTGCCTGACACACAGCCAGCCACGTACACAAGTGCTACACATGCACCTCAATCCAAGAGGGCAGCGGCAGCAGGTGGTGTGCAGAGAGGTGCGCCCAGCACTCAACTCCACCCTCNAGAGGGGATTCACCCTCCCCCCCCAACCCCCCACCCCGGGGCCAGAACCCTACAAAGCAGCCCTACCCACTGCTGGTCAGGGAAAGCACGCCCTGTAGAGCAAGACCTCCCACCTCTCTTTTCTCTGATCCCATAATGAAGCTTTCCTTTGCTTCTGAACCAAATTCAGTCTCGTTCTATTGGTGCCAGCAGGAGGACCCTTATCGGGGTCTGAATCAGTAGGGTCAGTACCAGGAGCTAAAGAAGACATGATATCTCCCATCAGAGAGTTCGAAGTCTGATACTTCATAGCTATTGGCTAGCATGAAGCAAGGGCCTAGAACAACCAGGGGACTACCACGTGAAATCTAAGCGTGGCGTCCACACTGTGGGATGCAGAAGAAGAGAAATGAAGCCCTGGGGGCCTCTGTCGCTGGAGCAAACCCAACCTGATGCCATCCCAACCACCAGACTTTGTATTCTTCTAAGTAAAGAAATGTCTTCCACTATTTAAGCCAGTTAGAGTTGGATTTCCTGTTAATTACAATGAAACACACTGCCATATTAGTCCTCTTGCTGTTCCCTGCATTCTTTGTCCGTTGCTAGAGACCTTTTTCCCATGAGGCAAAAAAATGGGGCAGAAGTAAAGAAGAAAGGATTTGAAAGCCAAGTACATAGATTTGACTTCTTGGTAGCTGCGCTGGAAAGAGTTCCAACAGGGGACATTCAGAGCTGTTGGCCAGATTAAATTCCAAGGCTATTTGGAAATGTCAGTGGCCCATCTTCTCCCTTCTCCTGCAGATAATCAAGAATTGGCTGAGAGTGCTAATCCCCACCAGGCCCAGCCAAGGAAATATCACTGCTCTGGAATCCTGAGTCTTCCCAGAGGTACAAACCATCATATTTAGAGTGAGTTCCATGGCTGGGGGCAGAGGCCACCTGTGTTAGTGACCCATCTGGAACACCTCAAGACATTTCAGAGGCCCTAGGAGAGTGGCTTACAGGCAATCCTGCTTGCTTCTCTTGGTCTGTGCTCCAGTCCTGCCCCAGAGGACATGATGAGGTGGGGTCTGAAGGGCCCATATCACCAACTGGTGAGAGTCAGTATAAGAGTCCAAGTGCATAACACAGCCCCTCCTGGTAGCAGGATTTGAGACAAAGAAAGTGAAAGTGAAGTCACTCAGTTGCATCCGACTCTTTGCAACCCCATGGACTGTAGCCCACCAGGCTCCTCCATCCATGGAATTTTCCAGGCAAGAGTATTGGAGTGGGTTGCCATATCCTTCTCCAGAGGATCTTCCTGACCCAGGGATTGAACCTGGGTCTCCCACATTGCGGGCAGATGCCTTACCATCTGAGCCACCAGGGAAGCCGAAGTGCCAGGCGAGAAGCTGGAGACAATCAGGACCCCCTGAGATCGCTCTGCATCCAAGTGGAGAGAGAGGTGGGCCTGGGGGACAAGCAGGGACCAGTCCACAAGCCAGGACATCCAACAGGTGGGGCCAGCTCAGGGGTCAATCTGGCGACTGCTCGTACCTAAAGTTCCAGAGAAGGGAACACATTACAACAGTAGGGTGTGAGGCAGACGGTCACCCCCCAAGGAGTGTGTCCATGGGGGCTGCAGGGGGCGCGGGCAGAGCCCTAACATGCATGTTAAGTCCTCTGGACACTGCCTGTCACATAGGTGAACTCAACACAAGGAAGTTCTTTGGCTCCTGGAGCAAAGAGGAGCCAGGATTCAATGGCGAGGCTGGCACCGGGAAGCAGCAGTGAGCAAACCAGAAGCCCAACACTCACGCCTCTCTAATCAGGCAACACTTAGCATCCTCGGTGGGCCAGGCTCCCTGCTGGAGATGCAGAACGAGATGAGAGCCAGAGCTCACCCTCAGCTCCACGAGCCTCAGTGAGGCTGAGTCTGCACAGGGGCTGGGCCAAGGTCTTCCTGCCAGCCATAGGTGAGCCTCCCTTGAAACGGGGGTGGGCAGGCCTCACTGGGGAGAGCTCATCGGAGCTCTGCCTCTGGGATCTGGGAAGGGCAGAGACTGGAGAAACAGGCAGGAACCGACAGAGGTCAATGGGGCCTGGAGAGAGGGAGTGTTGCACAGAGTTGGCCACGCTGGGTGCCTGTCCACGGCCCTCTGCTCCTGCTCCTTCCATGTCACGGGTAGACCAGTGAGTCCAAGGGAAAACCGAGGGATGAGTCTTCATCTCTACTCACGCAGTTCAGTTTCCTAAACCACTGCCCTTGAATTTCCACCTGTGTTTCTGAATTTCATTGTTAAAAATGAAAAAGAAACAGCAAACTCTATTCCACAGGAATATTCCTGTATCCCCTGCAAGCACTTGGAGCGTCTGCTCTCTGGATGAAAGTCAGGAGGGGCGGCGAGCGGGGAATGCTGAGGGCATGCCCACAGCAAGATGGCTGCATCTGGAGCCCAGCAGCACTCTGCTCCCAACTCAAGAGCTGTGTGATCTTGGACGTGTTCTCTACCATTCTGTGTCTTTGGTTTCCATCTTTTTAAAAAGTGGTGATAACAGTAACTTAAATGGACCAATACAGATAAAAGACACTTAAAACAGTATTTGGTGCTTGGTAAAGACCGCACAAATATTTGTTGATACTATTCCCATGGCTCTAATCCATACTCGCCCAAGCCCTGCAGCTCTCCTCAAGCCTCTGAGCTCCCAGTGAGACCCAGGGGCATTTTTAATTGCCCAGTTACAGCCCAGACTGTAGCACCAACCACACACGTACAAAAGGTTTAATGTATCCATTAGGATTCTTTTGGTTACAAGTAGTGGTAAACCTCTGCCAAACTGACATCACCAAAAATGAAATTTTATGAGTGCACATAACTGAAGAGTGCCTGGCTTGGTTCAGATGCTCAGAGGGTGAGTTCAGGCTCTAGAAAGTCACTCTGTGCACTTGTCTCTCCCTGATGTGTTAACTCAGTTCTCAGACAATCTTTCCTCATGGTCATAAAAAGGCTGCCAATAACAGCAGAAGCTGCCGCCTCCCTGGCTCAAAACTAGTGAGAAAAGAATGACACTATTTCCCTACAGGCTCAAACAAAAGCTGTCACTCCAATCTCCTTACCAGTGTTTTGATTAGCAAGGTCTGGATCAAGGATCGCCCCCAGAAGCAGAAATAGTCAGGTGAAGAAATGGATGTCCAAATGGAAGTTGAAGCACTGTTCCACTTTAAAAAAAAAAAGTTTGCAGTATTTAATGATGGCAGAAGAGGATGCTCATGTAAGAAGGAAAATTCCTGCTTTCTTTTTTCTTAACATCTCTAAGCAGTTCATCTCTTCTTTCCATTCTAAAAATGAGAGTCAGGGCAAGTTGTAGCTTGACAGCAAAGAATCCACGCTTGGAGGAAGACTGCCTGGAGCAACTTGTGGCTCTGTGGCTGACCCCCTCTGTGACACAGGGCAACTGACTTTTCAGCCTCAGGCCTCAGTTGGCTTGTCTATAAAACAACAGCAATAATCCTACTTTACAGCGCTGTGAGAATAAATAAAAGAATAAGGCCTGTCCCTGTGTGTGCTCGGCTGTGTCCGACTCTTCATGAACCTATGAACTGTAGCTCGCCAGGCTCCTTGCTCTATGGAAGTTTCCAGGCAAGAATACTGGAGGAGGTTGCCATCTCCTACTCCAGGGGATCTTTCTGATGCAGGGATTGAACCCTCATCTCTTGTGTCTCCTGCACTGGCAGGCAGATTCTTTACTATGTGGCACCTGGGTCAGATAGAAGCCTGTCTGGCCCACAGTAAATCATTTGCAATTATTATTAGTGAGTACACGTTCCTACCCCAACTCTGCTCTGTCTCACTCAGCACTGGGCTCTGGCTGACAGCCTTCAGGAGAGAGAAGGGGACAGGAAGGCCCCTCCAAGACTGACTTGCTCTCTCCTGAGAGCAGGGCAAGAAGGGCAGGGCCCAGCCAGGCTGCAGCACAGACCCGAGGGTGGGAACCAGCCGGCTCAAGGAATTCCTAGGAAGCGATGCCTACTTCTGAGTTCAGAAGAAAATGACAGTATCTCTTTTTGCCTGCATAACCCTCTTTCCTGAGGGAGGCAGTGAAAAACTCGATCCAAATAAGGCCCAAAGTTCTGCTGGCATTTCGCACGCAGTGTTTACATAGATTAGAACCTCTCTGTTGACACCCAGCTTAAACCTCCAAGGCTTTGTAGACCATGAATGTTTAATGTTCTGTTTTACGATGTTCCTTGCCATCCTAAGTGGTTCTGTCAGCTTTTAGAAGGGAAACTTCCCCCTTCAGGGTATATTTCCCCTGCCCTGAGCCGGAGAGCCCCGTTGCTAAGGGCATCAGTTCTGTTTGCTTAGGAGAAGTACAGATGTGAATAGTCACCATGTTGCATCTTTTGTTCTGCTCATCTGGCATCCGGCTGATGTAAGAGCTGCAGAACGCTGGGGCTCCCTGACGGGGGAGAGAGAAAAAAAAAGGCCAAAAGGAGCCCAGGAGAGTATGCCAGTGCTCAGAGGCTTTCAAGAATTGGATCTATTCTTAGGAATCTCCACATTGCTCCAACCTGCATGGAGGCCAATGGGAGGCAATTTAGCCAAACCCACGTCTGTTGAGCCCTTACGGGGCAGCTGTGAGGGGCAGATGGTGGCTCAAAAGGGTCATGTAGATAAAGTTCCCGCCACTGCAGGGGTACATTCCTGACTGGAGAAGAGCTGGATTTACTGCAAAGAAGTCTAAATTGCAAAGCATTAATCAGTGTCACAGGCTTCCCTGTGGCTCAGTGGGTAAAGAATCTACCTGCAATGCAGGAGACCGCGTGCAGCCCAGGAGACCTGGGTTTGCTCCCTGGGTCAGGAAGATCCCCTGGAAAAGGAAATGGCAACCTGTCCAGTATTCTTGCCTGGAAAATCCCATGGGCAGAGAAGCCTTGTGGGCTACAGTCCACGGGGTCGCAAAAGTCGGGCATGACTTAGCGACTAAACCACACCACAATCAGTGTGCTCAGATATTACCTGAGTTAAGCTACTCACTCATATCAAAACTCCAGATACATCTTGAGTTGCCAGTGGGTTTCCTGCACTGTGAAACCACAAGCTGAAGAATAGATGGTCAAGAAATATTAGTCGAGTTGATGACTACCTCAAACTTACACTCAATTAACCCCATAGAGTGCAATAATTCCATAAAATAAGTAGGAGAAAGCAGAGAAGAATATTAATCCAAATCAATCACCTCGTCCCCTTCCTTTGCTGCCGCATTTGTCCAAGCTGCCACGTACTCTCACCTGGGTATGGCAATCACTTTCTAAGGGGTCCCCCTGCTTCTCCCTTTAACAGCTCCTCCACCCCTTTTTTAAAGTTTATTCTCAACAGAGCAGCCAAGGTAATCCTGTGAACACTAAGTTAGATCATGTCACTCCTGGGCCCAAAACCCTCCAGCGGCTTCCCATCTCACAGAGGGCAAAAGCTAAAGTTCTACCAATGAACGGCTTTCACAGGGCCCTAGGTACCTCGGGTCCCCAAGTGAGTGAAGACACCTTGAAAGTGGCTCCCACAACCTCCACATCTGACATTGCATTCAGCAGAGACAAGTTCTTCCTTGTGGAACCTTTAGAATTTGCAGAATCCTGAAAGAATAAACAATTGTAATATTTGTGAGCCACTAAGTTTCAAATGGCTTCTTACACAGCAATAGGTTAAGATTTCATTTTTTTTAAAGTTCACTGCTGAAAAGATTAAAAAACCACTATTGCAGAATAATATTTAATGAAATGATAAATGCTTCATTTTGTGTTCGATTTCAAAAGGTTGCAAAGTAACATATATAAAATGAAAAAAAAATTTTAGTATACAAAGTATCTATAGTTCTCAGGTAGTGTAAATTTTTAATAAATTCACTTCCCTAATCAGCCTAAACATTTCAACAAAATTGCAAGTGATTCATTTGCTCTGATTTCTTTATAGAGGGAAAGAGAGCAAGAGGGAAAGAAAACAAATTTTGATTTCTTTCTAAACCCCCTATTGTCTAAAATAGACTTTGTCCTCAAAATCTCAGAAGGGGAAATGCAAAAAGAAATAGATTAAGTTAATTCTTAGGCTGAGCTACAAAGAGCTCAGTTCCTGATGACTTGGGAAATTTGGACAAGTTTGGGGTATTTTTAAATATGCTTTGTTTCGTGTGGCTGTTGGCAGCACTGGTGGTGGGGTCTGCCTTTGACCTAGTCCCGAGTCAGACGTAGTTGCACTGTGTGGCTGGGAGACCAGGCAGTCTACAGGGCAGGTGAAACTGATTCCCCGTGTTCCTTCCCTGGGATTCCTTAACTCTTCCCTGGTGTCTTTGGTCTACTGCACGACTCCTTGTAAACAGGATAGGCCTAAGTCAACACAACCATGCTGAGTTCTCAGGCAGTTAAAATTTCATTCTTTTTACTAAGCTTCCCTTACCCTGGCATTGATTTTTCTTTTTTTTTTCCCCAGACAAAATGAGTTGTTTACATTTTTCTGAGTTTCATTTCATCTTCTTGTTTTCAACGGTGCTTCCAGCCTGTCAAGTCCGATTGAAACTTCGTTGGATCAAGAGTCATGCAAATTTCTCCGCTCTGCCTTAGGTCTCTTGGAAATTTTACAAATCTGTCTTGGGTGTCTTCATTGAGAAAAATATTGACCTTTAAACTCTGTTGGTGTGGGCAGAGTCTTCCTGCAGAAGTTATACTCATTTAGTATTTAAAATCTCACAACCACCACCAGAAGATTAAAATAGTGCCAGACACCATATTTACCTCTAAACCGTGTTGCTCTTGACATCACACAACTGTGCACAGAAATGTGTCTGACAAGGTCCTGCATATGATCCAGATGAAAAGCATGGTAGCCTTGCAAGTTCAGTACTACGCCAAATGATTGTTTACACTAGAAGATCTTCTCCCATGTTATGTAAATAAAACTCAAGAGTTTGTCACCAATAAACGGTAATACTGCCAAAAAAAAAAAAAAAAATAGTGTCAGACAAAAAGGTAGGAACGATCCCAGGAGGGATTAGGTAACTTTAAAATGAAGTGACCACAGCTCCACCCAAAGTAAATATGAAACTCCCCTGAGAATCCCTTCATTTCAGCGACTGTTCAAGAACCCTTTTTGAGGTCCAATGCAAATATCTGTTCTGTGTTTATTATTCTAGCATGTCAACGTCCTCTTCCTATTTACCAATGTCAGTTCTTTTGAGGCAAGGACAATTGTTACCATTTGGTTAAACAGAATACAGGATTAGGGGTTTCTCAAATCCTGGATGGAGGAAAATGGGATGAGTCACAGTTACATGCAGGATGTTTCTATCAAAATGCCTTTTAACCATTTAGTAAACATAACAAATCATTGGAGAAGGAAACGATTATTCAGTAAACAATGACAGGATATTCATTAGACATCTTGAAGAGGAGGAAAAACTCTATTTCAACCTTAAATTCATACCATGAATCAAAACAAATTCTAGAAAGATTAAAGAAACATATGATGACAAAACAAATCATTAAATAGACATATAGATCAATGGAACAGGACTGAGGGTCCGGAAATAAATTACTACATTTATTCTTACATTTATGGTCAATTGACTTTCAAAAACCTACCACCACACTTCACTGGTGAAAGTATAGCCTTTGTAACACGTAACGCTGGGACAATTGGATAGTCAGAGAGAAAAAAATCCTTACATTCATGTTATACACAAACTGTAACTCCAGTTGAATTGTTAACTTGCATGTAAGAGCTAAAACAATAACACATTTAGAACATAACATAGGAGCAAATCTTCAGGACCTTCAGTTGGGAAAAGACTTCAGCAATAGTGACACTACAAATATAGCCCATAAAAGAACAAATTGATAAATTGGACCTCATAAAATTTAAAAACGTTTGTGCTTCACAAGACACCAGTAAGAAACTGAAAAGACAAGCAACAGATGGGGAGAAAATATCCTGTTCTCACAGTTTATATTCTTTAGGGAGTATGGGGACATCCAGAAACAAATAAATAACAAAATATCAAATCATAATTAGTGCTCTGTAGAAGACAAAACACCTGTGACAAGTTGGATGTTGGCCATGTTAAACTGTGTCCTTAGGAAAGAGTACTCTGCTAGGATGTCATTCATATCGAGCAATGTGAGTTCTGAGTAACAAACAAATAGTCAATCATGTGACAATCCAAAGGGAAAAGCAGCAGCATGTGCAAAGGCCCTGTGGTGTATACAAGCTAGACATGTTTGTGTCAATAAATGATGGCAGGTGAGGCTCTGTCAACATGGGCAAGGAGGATAGTGATGCCAGATGGAATGGGGGCCTTAGGAGGATGCCCTTCAGAGGGCTTTGTGAACTAAGGTGAGAAGGGGGTGTGTCCTCAAGTGTGACTGAATCAGACTGGAGTATGACCTCAATTCAGCAGGGAATGGGTTCCAGGAGAGAGTATCACCCAGAGCTCCTGGTTGCAAATAACAAAGCTGACTTGGGCTGGTTTAACAAAGAGAAACGTATTTTATTATTTTTTTATTTTAAAAGATTTTATTGAAAAAGAATATTGGACAGACTTCCCTGGTGGCCCAGTGGTTAAGAATTCACCTTGTAATGCAGAAGACAGGGGTTCATTCCTGGTTGGAGAAATAAGATCCCACATGCTAAGGAGCAACTAAGCTAGTGCATTAAAACTAGAAAGTCTGCGATCTGCAGTGAGGGATCCCACAGGACGCAACTAAGACTCGACATAGCCAAACACATGGATAAATGTTTTTTTAAAAAAAAGAAAAGTAAAAGCAAAAAATGAATAGTGGGAAACTCATAGATTTCTTTTCTTTTTTTTTGGAGGACGTGAAAAACAAGACTCAGGATCAAGATCAAGGGTCCAGGGACAATTCTTAAACCACAAGGTGGAAACCCGCTCACTGCTGATGCCCCATTGGTGATACTTCTGCGTGTGGAACTCAACTTTGGCATCCTTTCCACCCCAAAGCCATTGCTTTGGCTATTTAAAAAAAAAAAAAAAAAAAAAAATTCTGCACAGCCTTTTCTCCTTTTTCAAACTGTTCACTGCTGAATCAAAGGAAGTGTTAGTTGCTCAGTCATGTCCAACTCTTTGTGACCCTAATGGAGTGTAGCCTACCAGGCTCCTCTGTGCATGGAATTCTCCAGGCAAGAATATTGGAGTGGGTTGCCATCCCCTTCTTCAGGAGATCTTCCCCACCCAGGGATCGAACCCAGGTCTCCTGCACTAGCAGGCAGATTCTTCATTGTCTGAGCCACCAAGGAACCCAGAGTCTCCTAATAAGCATGCTAAGTGACAGTCTCGTCACCAAGTCACATCCTAGTTGCAAAGAAAGCTGGGAATTTGAAGTTTCTACATTCTAAATTCAGGGATTAAAACTTTAAAGATTGGAATTTCCCCAAATATAAGAAGGGTGCTTTTAAAATTACTAGGCAGTCATAAAACATAATAAAATCCATTAAGCAAATGGGAATAAAAATATGAATCCAAGTAAGGAGGCTGGTGCAGTATTTCAGGTGAAGGATAATGGGAGACTCAACAGGCTGATACTATATTATAGGACAGTGGTTCTCAGAGTAGGGTCCTAGACCAGCAGCATCAACATCTTCTGAAAACTTTGTTAGAAATGCAAATTTCAGGCCCCACCTTGAAACTTACTAAATCTGAAACTCTGAGGGTGAATGAAGCTCAGCAATTTGCTTGTAACAACCCACCCAGATGACTATGATGCCTGCTAAAGATTGAGAAACCAAATATTACCATTGCACTGAGGTTAGAGCTTTAGTGTATGAATTTGGGAGGGGGCCATGATCCAGTCCACAGCAGACATGTAATATTAAGAGGACAGCTTTGCAGAGCTCACGTGAATATAGGGTACATGACCCTTCTCTTCGACTCCCATCCCTTCCAGCCCTGCCCTCCTCAGATTCACATCACACAGACAGCATCCTCGCCTGTCCCCAGACCTTCAGATTGGCCACCCTGCCTCCAGTGTGTTTTCCACGTACAAGACTGATTTCATGAAAAGGCAGTTCTCTCCAAGCCACTCCTTTGCTCCAAACCCCATAGCTCAGAAGTGTTTTCCAAAATGTGTCTGATTCTAAGAATCATCAGGGTCTTTATTAGCCCCCAAACCCCTCCTTACAGTTCTGGAGTGAGTCTGGGGCATCCAAAATTTTATCAAGTGTCAACAAGTACGCATATCACCCATTCTGAGAAACACTGCCCCTTACGATAAATTTCAAGATCCTTAGCAAAGCATAAATATGGCTTGGTAATCTGGCCCTGCCCTTTTTCTCCTGCTTCCTGCCACTCCCCAACTCCCATCCTCACCCCCCTTCATATCCTCACTCACCCCCCAGCATTCCAACTCCAGCTGTGGAAAATTACTTGTGACTTCTGAGTACCCCATTCCCCCTTGTATCACCCTGACTTAGCCTCTCTGTCTGAAAGGGTGCCCTCTCTTCTCCTGGCCACCTGACCAATTCCACCTCTTTCACTTCCAAGCTCCAGCTTCCCTCTTCCAGGAAGGCCTCCTGGTTGACACCCTTTATGATTCTGCTGCACACTTTATGCCTGCACTGCCACAACCATTTCGGTTTTTCATTGGCATGCCTCCCCAGCCAGATCAACAGGTCCTCCAGAGAAGGGAATGAATCTTTTCATCTTTGCATCCCTGGCTCCTTGAACAGAAGCAGGCTCAGTGCAAGTACTCAATAGATGTTTGCTGACTAAATCAGTTGGTGAATTATTACGGGTAGGACGAAGCTGCTCAAGAGAACTGCATATTCCTTAAGAACTATTATTAAAAATTAGGGGGGAAGGTCATTGAGCACACATACACATGTACACACACTCTCTCTCTCTCTCTCTCTCAACAGTATCCAAAGAAAAGAAGAACGTCAGCCAATGGGGAAACTGAGGCACTGGCTGTTGCAACCAATAATAGTAAGGATGAAACACAAATTGCTCCCTCTCTGGGTTCAGATTCAAGTGAGAAATAGAGGATTTTGTCAGAAGTAGTGTCAAAGCTGCGCTGTTTCTGGCAGTGAGACTGCAGAAGGTGGAGATTTCTAAGACATGGTTGTTGTATAAGCATGCTCAGTCCTGTCCAACTCTTTGTGACATCATGGACTGTAGTCTGCCAGGCTCCTTTGTCCAGGGATTCTCCAGGCAAGAATAATGGAGTGGGTTGCCATGCCCTCCTCCTGGGGAACTTCCCAACCCAGGGATTGAACCCACATCTCCAGTGTCCCCTGCATTGGCAGGCGGATTCTTTACTGCTGAGCACCTGGGAAGCCCTAAGATATGGTTGGGCTTCTGAACATCTTCCCCTGACTGAGGTCTTGGGACAGACCATCCCCCAGAAGACAGGCCAGAGCCCTGACCCATAGATGTGCTTTCACAGGGAAGCTGAGGAGGCCTGCTTCCAGAGACCAGGCTGCTCTGGGGGAGAGCAGTGAGAAGACCTTTCCCCAACCTCAGCAGCCAGAGAAAGTCACTTCTCTTTCTGGGGGGAGGAAGGAAGTGTGGAGAGTGGCAGATGGGTGTCTCCACACACTTCTATCCTGGGAGTGGGGAGAAAGTGGAATCATGGGGCATGGGGCCCCCACTCTCCTCACTGACCCCCCACGAGGAAGTGCTTCAAGAAGGGCTATTTGTAGAGTTGGGTTTAAGAAGGAAGTGAGAGGCAGTTTTTCCAGAGTCAGAAGGGAAATGGAAAGGTTCACATCACGTGACCCTGCAGAGGGCTGAGAAGGCTCCGGTATGAGACTCAGAAGCCGGAGTTCAAATATTCCCCAACTTCAGCAAGGTCGCAAGAAGATGCGGGAATTGCTTAATCTCTCTAGGCCTCCCTTCAGCCTCCATCAAACATCTGTCACGAGCCTGATGGAGTGAGATGATGATAGAAGGGCTGGATTGACTCAGTATTAACTTGGGTAACAGAAATAACTGATGTCACACTCCAGACATGGCTGACTGGGGAATCCATGCCTATGGCAAGCTGGTGGCTGGCCCTCCCTCATCAACTCCCTTCCCCACTTTCCTGCCAAGTCTGCCCAGCTCACCAACCTCCTCCAGCATCAACTCTGCCCCAGGACTTCAAGAGTCAGGATTTAGGTTTCCTGGCCCCTCAAAGGCCATTGCAGTTAACATTTAAGAATTTTCCCACACTAAACACTCTTTGTGCCCTTAAACCAGGCCTCTGGTTAAGGGGGTCTAAGGATTTGCATGTCTCAGAAAGGAGCCCCCTTTTTAGCAGATGCAGTTCTGAATTCAGCAGAGGAAGATCTCTGGGTACACAAAGAAGCCTCCACCCCAAAGCTCTTCTTAATAATTATCTGTTGATGACAAATCTCTAGCCATATGCCTTGCCTTACAACTATACTTCCTTCATGTGTCACACAACCTGGGCAAAGTCTGCCCAGGCATCAGATGCATCCTACAGATGAGGACCCCAGGTTGGAGGGGCTAACCTGGCCACTGCAAAAGAGAGGCTAAAGCGGTGGCTTCCAAGGAACTTTCTTCCCGGTTGCTGAGAGTAGGGTGGGGTAAACAGGCCTCTGGCTCCCAGGAGTTGGTGCAGATGGCTCCTGCCCCTGAAAGTCTGTCTGGGCCCCAGACTCTGCCTGTTTTTTATGAACACTTGTAGAGCACCTACTGTGTGCCAGGCATAGTGTGAAACACTTTACAGACATTATCTTGTTTAATTCTCATAACTGCCGATGCTGTGCGGCCTGAGGGAAACGACTTAACCTCTCTGTGTCTCCATTTCTCCCACTAAAGGGGAGATTCCATAAAGTACGCACTTCCTAGAGCTGTTGTGACAGCTCCATGTGTTAACACGCTTCAAGCACTGGGAACAGCACCTGGCACACAGAAAGGGCTACAAGATTAAGTGTTTGTGGTGTAAATAAAGGGGCAAGGACAATGATGGATACAGAAACACAGAATAGGAGGAGAGACCCCTAAATCAGTCCTAGCAGGTGAGAGAAGCTCCCAGGAAGCCAGCTAGCTGGCAAAGAGCTAAGCCACACTCACACTAGAAGCCCAGAGAGGACATTTGCTCTGGCTCCCAGATGCAGGCGCATGCATGCTAGGTCATGTCCGGCTCTGTGACTCTATGGCCTGTAACCTGCCAGGCGCCTCTGTGCATGGGATTTCCCAGGCAAGAATACTGGAGTGGGTTGCTATTTCCTACTCCATGGGATCTTCCCGACCCCGGGGGTTAAATTCATGTCTCTTGAGTCTCCTGCATTGGCCGGTGGATTCTTTTATTACTACTGCACTACTTGGGAAGCGCAACTCTAGTCCCCTCCAATGACCAAATACAAAACACAGCTTTAGATAAGAGTAAATACTCCTTCCAAGACATGAAGATGCACTTGCCAGCCCTTATTTACAGGTGTATTAACACTGGAAAACCCATGTTCCCTGCCTCTGACCAACTCTGCGAACAATGCCAAAGGTTTCCTGTAATGAAAGGGACTAAAAATACTTTTTGATGATGGAGAGAGTGGAAGTTAAGCAATGCCGACTGAGCGAAATACGGAAATGATACCAAATGGTCCCCAAGCAGCCAAGCAAGCAGCCCACCTGGCCTTTGATCTCACAATCTTGCCCCAAGACTCAGTGCGTCTTGTTTTGTTCCAGGAGGCCATGCTGTGTCTCTGTGTTTGCACGCTCCAACTAATTTTCTAGAGAAAAAGTTAGTCAATCATGACTAATGCTGAGTTAGAGCCTGAGACGGTTGCCAGCAAACTGAACACCTAAATAATATAACTTTCTCTTCTTTGCAACTCTTGGAAAGAGCGTTCAGAACTGGGAATTTGTTAGGTGCTTTGGGGACTCAACAACCACCCCCACATTTACTGCCAAATTATTGTAATCATCAGATACGTTTCATACACCGTCATTTTGTTAAATTTAACCATTTTGTTAAACTATGGTGGAATGGTTTGTAACACTCATCATGTGTATCATGTCCCCTTCCTCTCCTCCCCACTCAGTGAGAAACAGTCAGTATACCCACCACAACCACCCCCTTTTACAGATGAAGAAACTGAGGGGCAAAGCTGTGAAGAGCTTACCTGAGCTCACACTGCCGGCTGATGACAGTCTTCTGACGGCGCACCGGCCCCTCCTTCCGCTCCTCCAGGCTGATCCCCTGGAATTCCACTCTACTCTCTGTTTGGGGCATCCTCGCTGTTATAAATCTTCTCTGTTTATAATGGCTGGTCTCCAAAAGAAGCCTCAGCCTGGCCAGGAGGAGCCTTCTCTTTCTCTTTGCAAGTAAATTTTTCCTCTTCTGTCTGGAAAAGGTGGCTCGGCAGCCAATTCAGTGAGCAATTCAGTGATTTAGGAACAAATATGTGGTACAGTTGAGTCTCTCCAGATGTGGAGCTAAATAAGGCACAACTAGACATTTTTTTTTTGGGTCCGACACCACTTTAGGCCAAACAAGGGGGAAATGGAGCCCCAAGTGCACTTGCGAGAGTAGTGATAATATTCTGATTCAAGAACGCTTACTACGTGCAGGCACTCTCCGGAGAGCTGGGCCTCAGGATGACCAGCTGGTCAATTGCGTGAGTATATGATAAACTATACAGAGTTCTCCCCTTCAGTTCCCCCCTTGCAGGAGGATTTTCCACCCTTGCACTGTTGAACTCAGGAGTGGCGGTATGACTTATGTTGGCCAACAAAAAGTACACAGAGGTGACACATGTCTCCCAGCTCGTGCTGGGCTTCTCTCTTCCACGTGCCACACACAGGCAATGTTCCAGAAGAGGCTGCCTTGAGTCCCAGAGAGGGGTGGAGAAGCCAAGCTTTGGGCCAGTCCATAATGGCCATGTAATTTGAGCAAGCACTGTTTCTCTGCCGTGTGGTAAACCACTGATGTTTCCAGATTGTTGTTACAGCAGCAGGATCTAGCCTCTCCCAACTAGTGAGTTTGCATGAGATCCCACAGCTAGTACATGACTGAGGCTAATCACTCAATCCAGCACTGAACGAATGCTTACTAACTTGTATTAACTGTGCTGAGTGCTTGCCATATATTAATTCATCCTCACAATGACCCCATAACCTGTACATATAGTTGTTACCCCAGTATTTCAATCAAGGACATTTTGGCTCACACAGCTTGTAAGGAGCATATCCAGGACTTGAACCTTTGCTCTGAATTCATGTCCTAGTTTCATAATTGCTAATTCATGTTGACTCCTTGTTCACTTCTTCAGGATACAGATCTTGAGAAATTGAAAAGAGTAGTATGAATGTGCCAACCACTGTCAGACTGTCAGATGGTCCTCATGTGCTCATAAAGTCAAGAAATAATGTGAACTGCCCCAGCTGATGAACAATCACCAAAGGAACATACTGTGGGTGAACAAGGAGGTGGAAGTATTCAGCACCTCTTCAACACTCCTCCATTCCCGCTTAACTCCTTCCTCAGTTCGGAAATCGTGCTCAGCCACTAACCCAGAGTTCCTACCTCCCTCTGTTGTTCCTGCTCGGAAGGCACACAAACGACCTTACACTTGGACGACAGACCAACAGTACCATGGGGAACAGGAACAACAAAGGCTTTGGAAGGAAACATATCTGAGTTCAAGTTCTGACTTTGCTACTTCCTAGATTTGGGACCTTAGGCAAGTTGCTTAGGTAAGTCTGCACCTGTAAAATGGAATAAATAAAATAATCATGCCAACCTCACTGGACTACTAGGAGGAGAAAATGAGAAAATGGGATTTGACAAATACCTTAGCCAGGGCCTGACCAATAACAGGTGCTTGATGGATGCTAGCTCTCTTAGGAGTTTACCCAAAAAGCATCATGTGAACCCTCCATAATCCTGCCTACTCTTGCCCTTTGCCCCTAACCCCCACTCCGACACACCCCTTCCAGCTGAATCCAAAGGAGCTGCTGCCTCCCAAATGTGTTTGCTGACCTGATTTGGACCTGAACACACATCTTTGCCCTGAGAATGTGGTTTGGAAATGAAGATTGAATGTCTTAAAAACTGAGCTGGGCTTAAAGAACATTCAGAGTTAAACAGACACATTTGGAAACTAATTCTTCTTTTTTTAGAATATCATTTACAAGGGGAAATGCAAACCATGTTCCAAATACTCACCCCCAAGCAAAGATATGGATCATAACCCGTTGGAAGTGAGAGATAAATACATGTGCATGTACGTATTTATACCAATCATTTCCTCATGTATTTACTCCAATCATCTAACAAAAATTACACATTTTCACCATGCAAAAGTCCTACAGCTAACAAACATTTTAAAGTGACCAATAAAGTACAATTTCTGTCTTTTCCTCAGCCCTGAATTCAGTCCTCAAGCTGAGGTGTTGAGCAGGGGATCCAAAAGTTAACCGGCGGCCCTTGCCTTCTGAGTCACTGATCGCCTAATGTTTTCCTTAAGAGAATCAGAGCAAGGAACACTCTTTAAATATACAACTCTTTCTTTCCATAGTGAAGGCTGAAAGTCAGGGCTGAGAAACCTCGAAGTTTCTTTAATGAAAGTGCAGAGGAAAGAAGTTCCATGTGACCTTTGGCAGACTGACATTTTCTTTTCATTCACAAAATTGACCAAATTGAGAAGACAGCATGGTGGGTGTTTCTTCATCACATTATGCAGGTAATTTAGTGTCTCTCCCAGATGCAAACAAGTATCACTGAGGGCCAAGAAGGGCAGAAACAGGGCCCAAGGACTCAGACAGACCTGTGTTCAAATCCTGTTTCTGATATGAACAACTTCCAGGATGGAGGCAAGAGATGTAGCCTATGGACTGTATTTCCTCAACCATCAGATGGGAACAATAATTCCTACTTCACAGAGCATTGTGAGAATTAAAGATATTGTTCAAAAGCATCTGTGCACAATAAGTATTCAAGGAACGACGACTGTCATCTTTAATAGAATCTAAGGTCAAGTTGACAATCTGGTGTTCGGAATAGTGGCTGAAAAAGACATGCTTTTCAAAAACCCATTAGATGGACTTTCAAGCATCAGACTAAGAATTTATCCAGTTTCTTTTACTCTTTCCACATTTCAGATTTACTCTGAAAAACAGGGAGTTGGGATTTCTGATTAAAACTAAAATCTTCCTATACATTAAATTTATTATAAGAAGCCTATTTACTTTTTAAGTTAAAAAAATGAAAAAGATTTTTTAAATTAATTACGCTGCTTTAGGGAATATGTAGAGACCATTATAAAGTGGTATGGATTGCAAAAGCGGCCATAAATGTCTATAATCCCTGTATGCATTCTTCATTGCAATATAATTTTGCTCCTCCCCCCATCATGATGTAGAGTTTATCTAAGCCTGTTTAGCTGTGTGATTCACTTGGACCAGTAGGTCAAGAGCAAATGTGCTATAGACAGAGGCACACTGGGGTCTACCCTCTCTTGCTTCCCCGAGATCACCAAGTAAAGAAGCGCAGGGTAGCCTAGCAAAGGATGAGGAGTCCCATGGAGTGGCAGTAGGCTTTCCCTGTAGGTATCAAATGCTAACTTTCAGACAAGCAAGTGAAACCATTTTGGATGATCCAGCCTCAACTAAGCTACCACATACCACAGCCATAAGACTGACCCCAAGTGAAACCAACGGATGAACCACCCAACTGAGTCCAGCCCAAACTGCTGACCCACAGAATCATGAGCAAGTGGATTGGCCAAAACGTTCATTTAGGTTTTCTACAGCATCTTATGGGAAAATCTGAATGGGCTTTTTGGCGAACCCAATACAATAAAGTAGTTGTTGTTCTAAACGGTTTTAAAATAGTTATACACAAAAGGTAAGTTTTGCACAAAGTCTTTCACCAGCAGTTCTGAGGGCATCTGCAAGGTTCACAGTAAATCCTCAATCTCTAGGCATTATCCCCTCCCTAAGTCACAGTGGCCTTGGTCATAGTTTCTTGGTCAAGGCTGAATCATGTCTGAGATCGGACCTATCCCATTCCCTCTCACATCACAGCAGTGCTTTAGATAGCTGACCCCCTGACTGTTGTTGCTGAGGGTCCAGGTTTGCCTTGGTTCTGCTCTTTTCAAGATCTGGTTATTCTAGTTGCTTAGATTTGATGAACTTCCCTGGTATTCTTCAGATAAATCCCATTTCTCCTCAAGAAAGTTAGCTTTGGTTTCTCTTGCTTGTACACCCCCTCCCCCACACAATTCTTTTTTAAAATTTTTGCTGAAGTAGGGCTTCCCTGGTGGTTCAGACTGTAAGGAACCTGCCTACAATGCAGGAGACTCAGATTCGATCCCTGGGTTGAGAAGATTCCCTGAAGAAGTAAATGGCAACCCACTCCAGTATTCTTGTCTGGGAAATCCGATGGACGGAGGAGCCCGGCAGGCTCCACGGGGTCTCAGGCTCCATAGTCCATGGGGCAGGCTCCCACGAGGCAGGCTCCATAGTCCATGGGGTCTCAAGAGTTGGACATGACTTAGCGACTAAATCACCAACACCACCACACTTACATGTAAAAGGATGTAATCACCACCATGATTTACAATATCATATCAGTTTCAGGTCTACAGCACACTGATTCAGTATCCATTACGAGTTATTACAAGATATGGGTATAATTCTATACCCATATCTAGCAGCATACTATATAACAGTGGTCCCCAACCTTTTTTGCAGGGGGCATGTTCAGTCAATAATGCGAGTATGGGGATGAAGCAGATGAAACTTTGCTTATTCACCCACTGCTCATTTCCTGGTGTGCAGCCAGTTCATAATAGGCTGTGGACCAGTACACTTTATCTCTTAATCCCACAAGCTCCAAACTTCTAATAAAGTCCCCTCTGAAGAGTTTGACCCTCCATGTTCCTGAGGAAAAGGTAGTGAGGATGCTTGAATGTTTTTTTGTACACAGAACACCCCACTGGCCTCTGCAGAGGAGGAAAAAGTAAGGAGACGGCACCAACCTCGCCCCCATGGAATCTCTAAGGTAACAGTCCTCCTGGCTCCGTTTTCTGCCTGCTTTTCCCCTTGATTTGTAGACTGGCAACTAAAGAGAATTCTGCCAAGTCAGTACACTTTGAATTATTCCTAATTAACTTGAATTCTAAGATCATGTGTCATCCTTGGCTTTACCAGGAAAACCCACAGAAGATCTGATTCTTCACTACGTGCCTAAGGCCATATCCATGGAA